GCCAAACACCAGGGCCAAGTCCCTCCAGCCCAGCTGCAGGGTTTTGTAAAGGAAGTTTTTTTTGGAACACTAGATGGCCACATGGAGTAGCTGCAAGAGAGACCACGTGGCCCATAAAGCTGAAATATTTATGCTCTGGCCTTTTACGGAGAAAGCTGGCCGGCCAGCCTCTGTCCTCAAGTGTCAGTGCAGCCAGCGGCTGAGCCTCAGGTGAGTGAAATTACACAGTGTGTGCTTTGTGTTGCCTCCTGGGCTCCACGTTATTTCTGTGAGACGCAGCTATGTGGGTTTGCACACCTGCGTTCAATAAGGACTTCACTCACACATAAAGCGACTGCTGGAGGCAGAAAAGTCCCTGATTGGAAAGACAGAAACCAAAATAAACCGCACAGGGCTCTTGCTGCGCTGCTTTCTCGGTCCGGACCGTGTTGTGAACAAATCCTCCATTCGCTGCCTTTGAAACAGGGTGCCAGGGAGGTGTATGTTGTTAACCTTCTAGAAAGCTCTAAAGATTGGTCTTTACACACCAACCTTTGTGTTATTTGTTGTACTTTTTCTTCTTTTTTTTTTTTTTTTAAAAGACAGAGACTCGCATCTGTCACCATTCAGACTACGAGTGCAGTGCGCGGGATTCAGCTCAATGCAAGCTCCGCCTCCCGGGTTCACGGCCATTCTCTTGCCTCAGCTCTCCATGAGCTGGGGACTAACGACCGCCCGCTCACAGGCACCTGGCTAATTTTTCTGTATTTTTAGAAGGCGGATGGGCCCAGCGAGTTTAGCACAGGATCTGGATCGATCTCTGACCTCGCTTCGTGATCCTCCTCGGCTCCCAAAAGTGCGTGGGATTACAGGCGTGGAGCCACGTGCAGCCTGCGCCTTTGTTATATACCTTTCAGCTAAGAAGATGTTTCAACTTTATTCTCCAAATCTTCCATTCATTTTTAAATTTCGCTTCATGATTTTTCATTTCAAGTAGGTTTTTTTTCCTCGTGAATCTTTTTTTCTTTTTTTTTTAGGACGGGGCTTGCTTTGTCGCCCAGCTGGAGTGCGCCATGTGTGAATCTCACTTACTGCACCTCCTTGCCTCCAGACTAGTCCGGCTGGCGTTCCAAAACCGATTCCTCGGTCTTCCTCAGCCCTCTCCAAGTAGGCTGGGATTAATAGTAATCCTTGCAACATCAATCCCTGGCTAATTTTTTCTTGGATTTTAGTAGAGACGAAGGTTTCACCATGTTGGCAGGCTAATCTCAAATACACTTCGATCAGGTGATCCACCCGCCTCAGCCCTCACCAAAGTGCTGTGGATTACAGGCGTGAGTCTCAACGCGCCTGGCCCTGGGAGTGTTCCTTTTAAAAAATATCTTGTTGCTTACTTCCTGGATAAAGTAAGCATGGGTATGGTCTTTTGCTCCTGAGTTGTTTCCGGACCGAGTTTTCTCTTCTCTATTAATGGGTTCT